TGCAGTGCTATTACAGAATAGAATTCACAATTTCTTACAGAAGAACAAACTCATTTTTTACCACGGATTCAGCGTTGTGATTTGAAATTAGATAACGAATTTCAAAGAAACAAATCACACCGGCGAATTACCCCGGTAAAAAGTGACTTTGTTTTTATAGAAAAGCACTTCTGCTTGGAACCGCTTCAGTAACTACTTAAATAACAGCTGAGACATTTTCTTCTTCTGTTTTTCAACCTTCTTAGTTTAGGTCTCCCTGAACAATTTTCTTTCACTGTAGATAGAGATGGGCGTTTTTAGATATTTGTAAAATCGATGCGCATCGATATTATCGATTCCAAGTGAATAAATAAATAAATAAATAAAAATAAATAAATATTTCAAATGTGAATGTCAGTCTAGTTAGTATCGGTGTATCACAGGATACGATGCGATACGAATTACGACAGATGCGTGTTTTGTGTGGGTGTGTTTCTTCGATTTCATGAATCATGACTTGAATATGTAATCGAAACCATATATTTACTTTTCGGTATGGTAACTGAAAATATTGAATGTTGGCAAAATTATTACATAAAAAGTTAAACTCAGAGCGTGGGTTTTGAAAGCAGTCCTGTGCCACAAACTTTTCTGTGCCGGTGGCAAAAATTTTAACTACAATTCATCCATAGCATTTTGTCATATTCATGACATATTTGTTCACCGTTAGCGACATCTCCTCCGGCACAAATAAGTTCATGGCACTGCAACTATAGAAAACTAGGTCGCATCGGCAACCAATAACGTTACCCAGTCGCATCGAATGCGCGCATTCAAACCTGGCATCGTTATCGCGCGTCGTTATTCTAAAAACCACCACCCACCCCTATTTCACTGCAATATTGAGAACTCTGTATCTAATAAAAACTGATGACTCCTTTTACGTCATCCTTCCAACGTATTTGTAGCCTTCCTAAAGTACCCTTTCATCATCATCACCATGTCTTAGTAATGTCTAATGTCATGGATGGAATAGAAATAGAGAGATTGGGCCGTGAGTGACCCACCACGCGCGCCCAGTGCGAATTGGCGGGTGTTAGACTGCAAATGCAACCGGGACCAACGGCTTGACGTGCCTTCCGAAGCAAGGGAATCTCGAGATAATAAGTTTTTGGTCACCCATCCAATGGTCGACCACTGTGAAAGTTGCTTAACTTCCACGATCGCAGGCCGAACGCGCTCACCACCTGCACCATTGAGCTCTTCACACGAGTACGCTTTGCCCCACGGCTTCTAACGTAAGAGATTGTAAACTGTCATTAGGTTGTAAACGGACATTAAGAAACACAATCTGTATCATATCGTCAGTTTATAAAGTCACTGTCTTCTGTTTTCATTATATAAACGAGTTACATTGCATAGTTTGCTGTGTCCGTTCAGAATCCATCTACAATAATTTACAATCGCAACATGAAATAATATGAAGTAACGGTCAGAGTAACATGTCCATAAAGATTAGAGATGAAACAAAAAAAAGGGGTAAAGATAACAAAGAACAAACTTTCATCTCTGGTAAACTACTTCATCATGATTTTCGATTCAGGCCACGTTGTTTGGAACATAGTTCGTAACTAACTATGTATTAATCAATGTGACGTCAAATATGTCAATTTAACTGTTAAGTATTAAGTGGTATCACTACAGTTTCAGAGAAATAGATTTTTTTGCTTACCGCCAATAACTTTTTATGAGTAGGCAAAAATGGTGAGCCCGTACAGCCTTGTATAATTTTAAAAGGTTGAATTCGCATAAGTTAAAAATACATAAGACCTTACTTTTTATGGTTTACATGTTAAGTAATGTATGTGTAGTGTACAAGTATTATTAATTTTGAAAGTTGCGTTAGAGATATTTATTTGAAGGTGATTTGTGGATAACAAAACAATATTTTATGTGGAGTCGTCTATGAACACCTATGTGATTATATTCACGGGTGATCAAAGAACACTGAAGAGTCGCCTGTGAACACACAGGTGATCATAGTGGAAAAGACCGTTTCAACAATGCGACCTTAAGTCTATGTGCATATAAATGCATATAGTAGATTTTTGAAATAAAGTTTGAAAATCCTGGTTAGAAAAGTTAATAAGCGCCGCTTCTCATATTCGCCGCCACTTATTGCGGTGCGAGTATTATTTCTTTATCTCGATCTTATCCTTTGAGGCCGTGTCCTTGGCGTAGAAACACGATCTTGTCTCATTATTTATAATAATTGAACGAAAGCGGATAAAGAGCTGGAATACGAAACTAGCGGTATCTGTGGCGTTGACAACACACGGGGTGTAATTGCATGGTGTTTTTATCCTTTTTTTTTTTAATTAACCTTCTTATTAATAAACGAAGCCTCGTGTGATAATAGTATTAGATAAGTGTTTGGGACGTTCTAAGAACTTAAAATTCATGAAAAGTTTCGGCGCTGTGGTAGTGAAACGCGCGTGAATAACAATGTTCTTTTTTTGAAATTCATAATACCACGCATCCAGTAGTGAAAATTGTGGCTGTCTGATGAGAAGTCCTTGGCGCGGAAAGAATTCAAAAAGCGAAGGAGTGTTATTATGACATTGGATGTTTTACCGTTGGATATTAAGTTAACTGTTTCAGAATTTTTAATAACGGTTTTAAAGCATAGGTGTAGATAATAGTAGTTGATGCGACTGTCTTCCACTTCCACTTTGGGTATTATGGCTCCATCGTTATGCACGATGATTCTGCCAATGTCAGGGTTAAGAAAGGCACTGTTATATCGGTACTCTTCTTTGTACGGTATGGTAGCCCGGTTACTACGTGGAGCTATCGCGTGGAGTTGAGATTCTAGAATAGGACAACACATATAACATCACAAGCGGACATGTACCCAAGCATACAAAATGTTAGTGTCTTTATTACTGTAGTAAAGCATTGGAGTTGGATTGTAAGAGGTGACAAGGCAAAGTATATAAATAGTTTGGACATCATAAGACAATGTTGTTAGCCTTTATAAACTTTCCTAGTACTTTAATAAAGGGTGAATTGACCTGCGTTAATAGGAACGGAATATTTACTGGTCTTGGGATATTTTTAGGTAATAGGTCATATAAATGTACCTGGATATTCAGACATGTAAAGATGCGACTGTCTATAAGAAGGGATATTAAAACACGATAGTCTGTTGTCAGTAATAGGTTGAATCGAGTGTTTTTTTAATACCTAAATTATATTGCATACACTACCTTATCTTCACTCATAGGAACAATTGAAATTAAACAAAGTAACATAGAAGTATTATGCAAAACTTTACTGAAATCTCGGTAACGAAACACGATCGGCTGAAAATTGTACGGGAAGCGGGAGAAATTAATTTCAAATACGAATGCGTGCGCCTCTTTTTTTACCATTCAGCCTAATATCATAGCATAATTTAATAAATAAAAAATTAAAGTGTACTATATTGATTAAAAAGTTATTTTTCGATACCGCTAGCAGTGTTGTAATGAGTTTAATTCTTAATTTATTTTATATGCGTTTATAAAGTACGTCTTTATAAAACCATCTTCAATTTCGTAATTCGAATATTTCGACTTGAGTGTAGATTAAATGTTTTAGTGTACACGCTAGCCTCTCATCATTATTTAGCCACACAACACCCACTGCTGAGCATAGGCCCCCCCCTATCTTCACGCAGTTCGGTCCTGAGCTGTCAGCATCCAGTGGCCTTCCGCGATGTTTACCATATTATCTTCGTTAGCCCAATCAGTGTACTGACCTTTTATAGTTTACTTCTTAGTTATACATATGCGAATAGAAATGCATCTTATTATAATATATAGATAAGTATATTTTAGTGTGGAAATATATATGAACAGCCATGACTTAGGTACAAATGCTCGAGTTAATCATTCATAACATTTGCCCTTACCAGAACTGGAACCCATTACGCCATGATCGATTTTGATGTTTACGAACCACTTAAAAACCGAATTATATTGTACAACGGAAGTCGTATACGTCTCCACGTTTACGTTAACTGAGCCGAGCTAAAAGAGTTACATATCACATGAGGTCTTCCGTTCCTTTTAAGAACATTTTCGGGTTACGGAACAAAGTAACATTTAAGTAAATACTGTTTTAATCCACTTCCCTATTTTTCTTGGGCACAGTACGGTGCATATAGTGTGTGGTCTGCCGGATCTCTTACAGTACCTATCTTATCAAAATTAAAGTTTTGTAACGTCTACGTACAGCATGTTGCATAGCTGTTTAGCTCTTAACAACAGCGGCGGCGATGACGTGTAAAATACAAGTCCGTGTGTTCTCGCCGAACTGTAACGTAAAAAGGGGGGTGATTGATCACCCCAGTATCCAGGCATGTGCCTGGCCGAAGGTTTTCTCGCCATGGCAGCTTATTGCGATGTTACGGCAACGCGTCTCATACCCCGAGACAGGCCGAATGTATTCAATCTATTCCGCCAAATTAGAAAACATTTACTTCAATCAAATGAGTTCGAGCGGTAGGCATCGTTTTGGGGAAATTTTACGTGCCTCTGTTTCTGTGAAGAATCAATTTGAATAGGGCTCTTTTGGGGGTAGAGGAAAAATTATGTTTACATTTAATGTACTGTTTCTAGGAAAAAGGCTCTTTGACATAAATTCGAACTTTCTGACCTATATTCAGATTCAAGTTGAATTCACTGTTGACTTAATTTATAGTAGACTCGGTATAACATAAAAATGTAGTACAACAATTTAATGTTTGTATAAAAAATACACGGTAACAGAGTGGTTGTGCTTTACAGGTGCATCAGTTAATGCGTTATTTAGATAAGGTTTAATTGGATCAAAGCTGTTTTTCAGAATCTGTTATAACATTGGATTTAAAATGAGTGTTTTATTTAAATTTAGTAATGAAATGTTAATCTACATATAATACGGTTTTTATTGTTTAAAATTTTAAATTGTTCTTTTATTTTTTTACGCTATCAAAGGGATTGGATGTCAGCGATATCGAAAACAGTAAGTTTCTTTACTATTATTGTATTTATTATATAGTACATACATATTTAAAAAAAAAGGATGATTTGCAAGTTATATATTTTAATACCAAATTCACCTCAAATCAAATATAAAGTTAAATGGTTGTAGTTCATATATGAGTTGAAGCAGCTACCCTAAATGCAGAAACAAGAGTTTTTTATATAAAAAATCTAGGGTTCACAACAATCAATATTCACCAAATCTAGTCTTCCAGATTGGATTTACACTTCATTTTCTATGGATTTTCACAACGAAAACAAAACTCGATCGTATCGTGTCCTTTATTTTGTAAAATAAAAGAGAAAATCGTTAACCCTATTTTCTTAACCATCAACGAAAGAAGAATTTTTCATCCCTTTTTTTGTAACTGGTTAAGAAAAAAGAATTTTTAATCCGTTTTCATGATTGGTTAAGAATGCCATTTAGGAAAATGGAAATATTAATATTATTTAATAACCCTGCAGTTTTTGTAAATTAGTTTTTATTTCAACGTTCACGCGCTACTAATCTATACCTAGAATCTTTTGATTTAAGAATCTGGTGGAATATATCTGTTTCTGTGTGACAGCTACCTCCGCCTCCACACATCGAGCTGGTGATGTCCATGCCATATCTCCGGACAGCCTTCAAGAAACCAACCGTCAGAGTACGACGTAAGTTGATTAGTTTTTTTATTATGATACTGCTTCATGAGATGCTTCATGGTATAGTATGTTTAGCTTGAAGGATTTGACGGATCCTTGTTAACTCTGACTTTGACTAACAATAGCTCTACAGAATAATAGTCGAGGAGCCCAAGCGGGGATTTCGGTATTTACTCGAGCGCGGTAGAATATCATTACTTATTTATTTTAAACTTTATTGGCCAAAATACAAGAGAATGGTACAAAAGACTGACGATTTGGCGGGGCCAATAGTCATGGCCGATTGTATATTTTTTGCTGCTCTAGAAGTTCTGACTGGGGGTGCAAAGATACCGATACGATCATCGTATATCAACGAATATCGTAAGTTTTTACGATCATTCGTTATCTTAAACATTGCGATACGATGTATACAGTTCTTTATTTTTCATTATTTTGCATTAGTTACTACAGTTTCGGGTGAAGAGAAATGCATAACGCGTCAATGTCTGAACACACCCATCCCTTTTGTTTGACATTGACAGCTTAACGATTTTTAGCTTACGCTTCTTATTTTGTGGGCCATCTGTTTACAACACTACATTATTTTCACAAATTTATTTAAAGAACTTATATCTTAGAAAGTGGTTTTCACCCACTTCAAAACGTCAGGTCGGAAATACAATATTTTATTAGAAAAAAAGAACGAAATAGTTATTTATTATACAAGAGTGGAAAGTTCCTTTTTAACCGCGTGCTCGATTTGGATGACCGAGCAAGCGAAGGATTCTAAAGTTGAATCACGAGCGCAGCGAGTGATTCTAAATTAGAATCCTGAGCGTCAGCGAGGGAAACAAACGAGCACAAGGTGAAAAATCTTTCCACTCGAGTGCAATACGTAACTTTTCATCCCACCTCAGCGAGGAAATGACAAAATGAAAAAGAAAACAATTTATAATGACAAAATATTTAAGCAATAAAACGTGAAAAACTAGAATGGCGCGAAGCACGCAAATAAAACAAAGAAACCAAGAAGGTTCCAAATTTAAATTTTTTCACAATTTAAAAAGTTCTAATCATAAATTTGGCACCATAGAGGTTACATTAAATAGGTTTAATGACGTTTTGAATTTACAATTATATTGAGTACTCATTATATGTGATGTTCTAAATTCAAATCTACTTTGCCGCTCAAGCGAATAAAATAGAATTTTCCAGCCAGATTTCGAAGCGCAAAATTACACTTTCCGAGGTGGTGGGATGAAAAAAAAATAACGCATTATATTAAGTCTCTTCCGTGTCCTTTTCATTCAAAATTTATAGAGCGTCGCGTCGAAAAACATATAGAAAAGGTGCGGACACGACGCTTCTTCATTTTCTAAGAAACTGGCAAAGCCAGCGCCCTCTCTCTGTCTGATTTTTATGTCTTTGCTGTATATCCCGCACCCAACCTGATGACTAGTTTCAAAAGATTAGGTAAAAATTGCTGCTACGGCCATCTTGTCTTACTTAATTTTTGACCCCTGTCACACAGGTCTTTATCCTATTACAGGGATCAGGGACTACATTATAAACAAGTATGTAATCAATTTATGTGACAATAAATAAAATTTCTTATTATTATTATTAATTGCCTTCCATTTTATACTTACCAACAGAAATACAGCACTACAAATAAAATATGCTAATATTGAACTGTTTTTATTCATTTATTTTGTACATACACAATAAAATATTAGGAAAAAGAGAAACAAGAGACATGTACAAGGGCACTGCTTATTTCATAATGAAATTTCTTCCAGCAGGCCCGCGAAAGGAAAGAACATAGAAAAAGGCAGTCAGTGTGTGCTCCTGAATAAATATAATTGTTATTTTTATTTGTTATTTGATATTTGTTTCTTAGATTTTCACGCACATCACTCTCAGATGCACTGATGTTGTTATTTAATAGCAAAAACCTAACACATCTTCGTTTTGCCAATGTGATGATGTAGTAAAGCTATGACTGAGAACTTGAGCAAAACAATTGCAGAAGTGCTTTTAAAGTCTGGCAGATAAATGTGGCTATGATAGAACTGATGTTGAATACATATTATGTAAATAGTCGGGCTTAATGCTGAAATTCTAATTCATCTGAATAAGTACTTTGTTTTCCGAAGACGAAACAGAATTCAAGTTCATTGCCATATTTATTAGGCAGGGCATTGAACATTCTTGACTCGCGGCATTGATATTGGAAAATGAGTAATAGTTTATGTAAAGTCTTCTGCTTAACATTTTTGCGCCACACACAAGGTACTCACTCAGGCACTTGTCCCACCGCCGACGATGAACGAGGAGCGAGTAGAGCTAGAAATTAGAAACGATAGCGAGCAGCGGGAAGGGAGTGTATAATTCCGATAGTTTTATCGCTGGTATATATAAGCAAGTGACAATGACATTTCGGACTCGCAAACGTTACGAATTCGATATTGGTTCGTGCTAAGGTTACTGATCAACATAGCACGCGCACGCGTTTGACGGCCAAGCGAGCTTCTCTAAACGAGTATTATATTTGATAGCTCTTGTCACTCAGCGACAAACTGGTGAAGAGAGTTTGACACGTGTCAGGTATTTTCTCTTCGGCTGGGTTGGCAACCATCGCCAGCTCCTAGCAATACGTTATGGAGGCCATACACACTAGGTTTTGCATGATGGTTATGCATGTACATGCATGTGCCCCAGCAGTGGGGAAATTAATAGTCTGATGATGATGATGATGATTGTGTCCCCAACATGAAAATTAAGGCCGTATGTTATCGAACTGAGACCAACTTGGAAATTGCATAGTTAGACAGCGATGGATGTGTAATGGAGACCATACACACTAGGTTTTACACACTATGTACATGCATAACCATCATGCAAACCCTAGCGTGTATGTGATAAAACTGTACAGTTATCGTTGCATGTACATGCAACCGAACAAATATCAAAATTGATATTTTATGCCGCTCGGTTATGCATGCGCAAGCATAACCGAGCGTGTGTGGCGTCCGGCGAGCTTGCCTGTCACAGTTCACAGTTTTTAATTGTTGCGACGGCGGAAGGTCCGAGCACCATCGCGTCGTTTCGAAAATGGCTAGTCGCAAGCGCAATGCAACATTAGAAGAATTTATAGAAAGTTATAAGTCGGAACCTTGTCTTTGGCGTAAAGTGCAAAGAATACCAGAGATTGATAACTAAGGTCAAGGAATTAGTGACCACAGCTACGAAAGAAGATGTGATTAAAAAAAATATTCCATTCACAATACTTAATAGGCGTTCTACACACACCGTCACGTAGCTCAACTGAGAGTAATGGCAAAACTGTACATGGAAACCCTAACGTGTATGTGCAATATGAAACTCGGTTATGCATGTCGGTTATGCATGTACATGCATAACCATCATGCAAAACCTAGTGTGTATGGTCTCCATTACACATCCATCGCTGTCTAACTATGCAATTTCCAAGTTGGTCTCAGTTCGATAACATACGGCCTTAATTTTCATGTTGGGGACACAATCATCATCATCATCATCAGCCTATTAATGTCCCCACTGCTGGGGCACAGGCCTTCCTTATGGATGGATTAGGGAGATTGGGCCATGACCCACCACGCGGGCCCAGTGCGGGTTGGTGGGTGCTAACGACTGCTATGCAGCCGGGACCAACGGCTTAACGTGCCTTACGAAGCACGGAGGAGCTCGAGATAGTAAATTTTTGGTCACCCATCCAATGACCGACCACTGCGAAAGTTGCTCAACTTCAACGACCGCAGCCGAACGCGCTAACCACTGGCGCTATCGAGCTCCTCACACACAAGTTTATGTTAAATAAAGTTGTGTCCCCAACATGAAAATTAGTAATAATAGAGTTCTTACGATGAATCTGTACCATCACCATTATCATGACCGTGTATCGTAAAAAATAATTCAAATTAATTGCGAAGCATCACTTGAGATCGAATAGAATGGTCGATTTTGCTGGTTTTTTTCATGTTCGTTAATGTCAGGACAAGGCGACGGTATTTTTTGGGAAATCCGCCAGAAACCAACAGAAAATCTGGAAGCCGGGATGATGTTTCGGTAGTGTAATATCCCTAAAGTATCTGAAACAATTCTATATTTTCTTCATTAGTACTTACATTGCACCAGGACAAAGCTGGGGTAGGTCGCTAGAAATTCTAAAGTATCCCAGCCCAGCCTCTTACGAACCTGATGAAATTTGGTAAATTAATATAGTTAAACTTGGAAAATGAACATAGGCTACCATTTGCAGCCTAAACATAAACTGAATGAATGAATTAAAATATAAAAAATATGAGGAAATTTCGCAAACAACAGCGTAGGAACAGACGATACAATAACTATATTATCATAAAAGGTCCGTTATTAAGGGCATAATGTAATTCGGGTACGGCGTAAAAAGCTCGCCCCGTGAAACGATATCGTGTGTTGTAGGGCGGACCAAGACACGTGTTGCGTTCATGTGTGCTTTGACAGGCATTGGCAGTGACAACCTTTGTGAGACCCAATTTTAAAGTATATTACCGAGTACACAATGTTGAACACAGGCAGGCATATACCGGGATATGTAGGGATTTTTCGGAGAATCCCTTTTCAACCTTTTTAGTGTCGCTGATATTTCAGGCGCATACCTGAATTCATAAACGGTTGTTGGCACCACGTAGAAGCTTATGGCTGATCTTCTCACTGTGGTTATAGGTACTCAAGAATTTTCTCAGAAGTGAGCGATATAAATATAGCGCCTGTAAAATATGATAAATCAATAACCGAACGCACTCACGCAAATAAAAGGTGATATAAATCGACCATAATAAATCTCTCTTTTCGTATTCAAATTCTTACTTTCAATGAATCGACAAAAAGTTCGCGAACAAATCCAAAGTTCTCCAATGTTAACGTTTTTTGTCCAGAATGGCTGAATGCGCGACCAAAACTCGGTGGGACGGGACTGAGATCGACTGATTGTGTTCACTCCTGAA